CCCCCCCCCCCTCAAACACACACACACCTCCTTCCCTGTAAATTGGAACGCCGAGGACAGCAAAATGTATAAATGTAAAGTTGTGGTGAGTATTCGTTTGGAAATGATTGCTGTACACTTGACTTTTGTTCGCGTGCTCAAAAGTTTAGCATTTAGCCCAATTCAATTTTTTGCGAACGCTTTGAATTCGCAATTTGAGTCGTCGGGTGCATGTTTTTAACATTTCGCGAGCGCCGGAATGTGTGAACATATGCAAAAACAAACAAACAACCGAAAACACCCCAGTTCACAGTGGATATTAATCTAAAGACAACTTAAAAAATAGGACTAAAAACAAAACAGTGCAAAATAGAACCCCCAGAAAAATAAAGAAATGTTACCTGGGAAACAAAGGAAGGAGCAGGCCCAGGAAAAGAAGGATAGAGGAGATCAGAGAAACATTAGCCAAGAACAATATAAGCATGCAATAGGCGATACAACAAACAGGAGATAAAAGTTTTTATTTTAGTCAGTAGTTTACGGAACTTGCAAAACAATGAGGTCGTATAAGTGCCGGAGATTAGGGATGTTACAAGGGAGTAACAAACTCAAAAAAGAAGGAGGATATGAAAGGACAACAGACGTTTGATAGGAAAGAAGAAGCAAACCACACTAGAGCACCCCCCAACCACTCACATAGACGTTTGATTCTCCCCTCGACACCACAAGGTAATAGAGGTGGACATTGTGAAATAGTATACGTTTAACACCCCTATCAACACTATTAGGTTATTCAAGAGACAGGACGTGCGAGTCAAACGGTCATCTCCGAAACGACCGAGCCAATTGAGAAAATCGTGTAAAGTGCCTTTCTCAAGGACACAACGTCAGACCGAGCTGAGGCTTGAACCCACCCGAACCCACAATCTCACGGTTACGAGTCCGGTAGCCTTAGATTCTAGGTAATACAGGCCACCGCAAAAAAAAAGTTGAAAAAAACCCCTAAAGGTTACCTTGATATGTAGATCTTTCCGGAGCCCCATGGGCCCCCTGGACTCCACCATGGAGATGGGCACCTTGTGCTTCTCGAAGACCTCCACGAAGACCACGGCCGGCGCCAGCACATACTTGTCGATGGTGGTGCCACTCCAGTCCAGGATGCACGCCTTCACCGGGCCCACGTATTGGCGGGAGAACCTCACGGCTGCCTTCAGCATCTTCTCTTCACGCTCTAGCAGTCAGACCTGAGGAATAGACACAATGAAGGGTTGTAGAGCTACCACATTAAAAAAACAACAACCACCCTCTCCCATGAAAATTAAAAAAACAACAACAAACCAAACCAAAAAAAACAACAACCAACAAACCAACAGACAAAATTTGCCATCACGATTGTTTGCTTGGGTATAGAGATGCACATCGACACGATAAAGGTAATTTAGTGCATGGAAGTTTAGTTTTGTTAGGTTTCCTCAGTTTTACGGCACGTGCAACACAAATAGATCAAGGAGTCTCCGGTCGTATTGGAAACCAGACCTGTGTCAGAAACCCTTCAATTTAAGACAGTAGAAATAATTCAATTGAAAAATAAATTACACTTCGTTATTTTGTTTATATTAGAAAAACAACAACATTTTGCAGTCTCCCTGAATCACTTGACCATAATAACTCTACAACGTAGACAACGACGTTAGTACTATAACATTAGTACTGAACTGGAACCCTTGGAATCTCCCAACAGCCAAAAGCCTCAAATGGCCATCGTATACACATGTGGAAACACACCGATACAAACTGGTATGGGAGTCTAGTAGCCCAACCTCCAACTAGACGGCTCGGGGAAAAACTGGACTAAGCGGCAGTAATCCTATACGGCACAATACATGTACCGAAAGTCGATAGAGACTACAGCGAGGTTGTGTGTGGTGAGGAGAGTCACAAGACGCGAGTGTTGGACTCGAATTAAAAATCCAAATTACTCGAGAGCTCTGTGCTCGAGAGAGAAACTTAAGTGAATACTCACGCATCCGAGTCTAAAGTCGAGATTGTGTTTTGTTTTCTGTTTTTATGGTCAATAAGTACTTGGGGAAAAGCAAGGCAGACTTGACAGCATGTGACAGAGGGAGAGTAGAGAAGTACGCAGAGGGAGAGTAGAAAAGTACATAATACACAAAGGGAGAGTAAAGAAGTTCACAGACGGAGAGTGGAGAAGTACATTGTACACAAGGGGGAGCACAGAAGTACCGCACGACCTACCAGTAGGGTCACCCGTGCACGCGCATGTTTTTATGAGAATGTGTGATCGTGTGTGCGTGCAGAAAACGAGTGAGTGAGCGTGCGCGTGAGCGTATGTGTGCGTGTATGTAGGCCAACGAGTGAGTGAGTGAGTGAGTGTGTGCGCGCGCGCGCGTGTGAAGTCCAACGTCACAGAGAGAGAGAGAGAGAGAGA